ACTTATTCACCTTTGTTTTATCCCTTCTAACCCTTACTTTTTACATAAATAAACATTATCTAAAACTAAAATTACAATTTTTACATCCTCCCGATTCTGTGCACTTCAAATCTCAGCTTTCTCAATAACGGATGTTGCATGATTGTTAACTTGACCAATTTGGGCCGGAAAGTGTTCATCAGAATTTCATTCCACCGCTATCAATGCGTTGTATTTTTGTGCATTTCTTTCTCTTCCCTTCCCTTCCATATTATTTTCAGCAATGCAACTGGCATTTTTTTTTTCCAGATGGAATTAATCTGATAATGATGTATGGTCTGTTGCGGCGACCATCAGATACGAGGTGTAACGCTTGGAATAACTATTGTTAGGCCCTCATGTGGTCCTTGACTGCAGCAGCGAAAGTCAGGGAAGTATACACCAGTAGTTTATTCTTCCAATAACAGCTTCGCTCCAGAGAAAATGACGAGTATAATGACGAGTAAGGGACGCGTAAAACGACGAACGGGACGCCGCATAAGCTGTTCAACAGAAGAACGCTGGCGGTGTTGCGGCGAGACGCTAGCAGCGTTGGCAGTAGGACGTGATGGTCGGATGGAGTTATCGATCCTGTCGATTTCCACCAAACTGAAGGCTAGGACTTAGGAAGGGGTTTATAAAGGGAAAATTAATGGAGGGAAAAAGAGGGCAAGTTAGTTAGTGAGTGAAAAGGTAGGTAATATGGAAACATTTAGAATTTGGTGGAACTATTAGAAATTAGTAAGTGGGGGGGAAGTAGGTCGAAGCGTTAAGAGTTCGTGGGAGGAGGGAAATACGTATAATTATAGGGTTACACTATCACCTATCAGGTATGATCAGGATACGGAATAACCTATGACTGCAGAAATGATTTCCCACCTCATAATACCAGTGTACTTTTGCGCTCTTCTTTTCAATTTGCACATTTTCGGTAGCACTTGTGCCTGTTTCCGCAACATCTGTCGGCTAAAAATACGAAAAATACCAGATGAATTTGATGAAGACATGTATTAATAATGTCGACGAAATGTAAGTTATAATAAATACTAAAGCGGTCCAAATGTGGCAACAGTAAGAAATGTATACCACTTAATGGACCAAAACATTTCTTACCAATTACAAATATTTTAACACTTCCCTTCTTTTTGTGCGTTTTTTTGCAGCTATGCAATGCAGAAAACGCATATTGACGAGAGTTGTCTGTGTGTGTTTGTGTGTCTGTGTCTGTGTGTTCGTCCGTACCGATTTTTCATCTCGAGACCTACGAAAGCTACGGGGCTGAGATTTTGGGAACTTAATCTACATGCATGTACGGGCCCTCATCCCCAAAATGGGCGTTCTTACCCGCATCGTACCCAAATACGAACCTGCCAAAGTTTTTTACGGGTAAGCTCCGAACTCGGGAACCAGAAATACTGGGAGGCTGAAATTTTAAAGGGACGTTCCCCGTCCAAGTGGGTATTAATGAGCTCAAACCCAGCCCCGGGTAAGCGTGGCACCCACGTACGAGCCCGCCAAAACTTTTTCGGGTAAGTCGCTAACTCGGGAATCTGAGGTGCTGGAAGAATGAAATTTTGAAGGGATGTTTTCTCACAGTCCAGTCTGAAATTCTTTTAGCTAGAAGCATTTGCTGGAAAAACCAGTGCCGTTAGCGACAAAAATCTGCGGGGAGCTATGCAAAAACCGCATCTTCGCACGGGCAGCCCGTGCGTTGGTCAATTATTTTACTTCGCTCTCCTTTTCTTCTTTTTCCTTCTCATTTTCTACCTTATCTTTAAATAAATACGACATTAAAAGTCGAAAAAGGAGGAAAAAGAAAAAAAAAGAAAGAAAGACAACTTTGACAATGTATAAAGTTTAGTTACAACTCGTTCAACACTTCCAAAAATGCCAAAAAAAAGGAGAAACGTGAAACCTGTTCAGTAGTTAGCTTTGGGTCGTTAAACAGACTACGAGAGATACGTCTTCGACATAATGGACAAGGCTGATTCCTCAACGCCACGCCTGAAACACAGGCATAAAGCATTCCAGGGCTAATCATCTGATAAAATTTTGCAAAAATTGGTGAGAAATTCGGCCAGGAAATATCCCAAATCGAAAAGGATGCCAAAATGGGTCATATACTGACTTCACAAGTATGCTCAACCAAATCAGTCACCTATTACCATAGCAAGATCCTCTTGGTTACGCAAAATGCTACTACCTACTCGTAATTTTTCATGAACAAACTTAAAAATATTTGAAAAATGCCCGGGAAATAACAACTATCACTGAAAGTCAAGAAAATTTGTGAATAAATTGCAGTCCCCAATTGTATACTACTTAAAGTCTTCAAGCTCGCAGATCGCTAATAGCAGGAATGATCCCAGTGCCGTAGCCTAACACTTGGGCTCATATTGGCCGTGCTTTGGCCCCTTCCAGCATGCAGGAGAAAGGGCGTCGGTTGGGATGAAGGTGCTGCATTATAGAGGCGCATGGACCTCTTGGTACATGATTATCAGTTTTTTGCATAAAGTCCAGTCGTTTTTTCGGTAAATGCTCGCTTTATGAAAAAATGAAAAAGCTCTAAGTTCTCGTGTCCCTCGTGCTCTAGGAGTTGCAGTGTTCGAAATGCGGTGGTGATGCTCAGCCCAAACCAAGAATTTATCGAAACAGCTAAAGCCTTGCCAAATGCTTCTGTCGGGGGATAAGCGCTAAGGTAATAATCCTTTCAGTAAACGAAACAGACATCAATATGGCCAAGAATTTTACGATTTTTGAAAATAATTTGGAAAATGTAAGCTGTGCTGTTCAAAAACTAGGCCATAAATCACAATTTTTCCAGTTTTTTCAAGGATAATCATCTGAATATCAATAAATACTAAAAAATAAATAACCCACTATCGACGAACAGCTTTAAAAAAATTTAAGGAAGAAATTACCGGGGGAGGAAAAAACGACTCGAAAGATTGGCCAACATGGGAAGTGCCGTTGGCAAAGTGCCAAAACGAATAGGCTTAATTTTTAAGTTTTCAAGCAAAAAAGCAGCACCTTTGATACATAAGAAGCAAAATGTATGCCCACAATCGGGTAATTCCGTTTTAAACGTATACGGCTGATAGCAAATTACGCATTCATCAGATTTCTGGGGGGAATCAAGCTGCTTCTCGTTGGTTTTCTCGGCACTAACACTCGTTCCAGGATCCTGCTCCTTTGGCGATACACCTTCTTCTGCCTCGGCTTTTTTCTTCGAATCCATTTCAGAATGTGAACGTTTCATAGGCTGGAACTGCTTTCCTTTTAAAACTATCAAAATCTGTTGTTAATAGTTCAAAAAATAAGTTTTTCTGCAGGAAAACAAATGAAAATAATTTTCTGTTGTTAACAGTTAAAAAAAATAAGTTTTTCTGCAGTTTAAAAAAAAAAAAAAACAAATAAGTTTTTCGCTAAATAAGAGCTTTACCTACAATTTTCAGAACTTTCGAGGGTAAATTTATGTGGGGAAAAAAATTTTACCAACTCGCAATCCAGGTATATTTTTAGAGCAGCAGCTTGCCCAGGTCGTCGTTCCATCCAGCTTTCAGAAAACCATCGGAATGTTCGGCGCACTCTTCACCCGGATGTTAACCCGAAAACACTCGAGTTATGAACTTAATCGTAAAAAATTTTGGCGGACCCGCACGCGGGTACCACGCTTATACCCACTTGGGCGGGGAACATACCCATAAGATTTCAGCTTTCTAGCTTCTCAGATCCCCGAGTTATGAACTTACCCGTAAAAAATTTCGCGGGAACCACGCGGGTAATGGCGCCCATTCTGGAGACTGGGACCCGTACCTGCATGTAGATTAAGTTCCCAAAGTTTCAGCCCTGCAACTTTTATAGGTCCTGAGATGAAAAATCGGGATAGATTATTACCACACGGACACACAGACAACCCCTCGTCAATATGCGTTTTCCCCATTTCATAGCTGCAAAAAACGCATAAAAATTTCCAAAAAATCGGCCTCTCAGACTTTAAAGAATACCTTTAATTTCAAAAGACCAGAAGCTTTTTTGAGAGAAAAAGCGGTTAGAAAGAAGTACCAATGAGAACTATGTGTAGTGCCTTTCAGGACAAATTTATTACCATTTCCCCCGGCCCTTCTGTCAAAAATCCCCCTCCCCCGACTTTCCCTTTTTATACTAGCATAGGGTAAAGATACCCAGAAATAGCCTCTCAAGGACAGTTGGTCCTCCTCCTCCTGTATACACTAGTAGAGGGTACATTTACCCGGAAGTAACCCCCCAAAAAATAGCAAGTGCTAGAAGCAACTACTAGCCGACGGGCAACGATACCCGGAAGTAAACCCTCAAGAGATTGAACGTGAAAATCTTCACCCTGTATACACTAGTAAAGGGTTAAGGCACCAAAATTAGCCTCTCAAGGGGAGATGGCAAAGTGCCAAAAGCAACCACTGGTCGACAAAACTAGTGACGCGTTCTCCTCCGAAGATTGCTAAGAAGCAAGCTGAGAGAGGGTTCAGTCGAATCCCTGGTCAATGCTGGTACCAATTTATCATCGAAACATAAAGAGATTATCCACAGTGGCGCAGCTGCGTTAATACCCACTTGGACGGGGAACATCATCCTAAGATTTCAGCGTTCTAGCTTCTCAGATCCCCGAGTTATGAACTTACGCCAAAAAAATTTTGGCAGGCCTTTACGCGCTTACCACGCTTTCCCGAACTCCGGAACTCAATGAGTACCAATGGATATTACAGTGAGGATAGGAAGGACGAATCGAGAAAAAGAAGACAACGAGACAGGACAGCAGAAGTTCAAAATCACCGAGCTGACATGGAAATATTGCCTTTTTTTTAGGGCTGACACGAAAACAAAGTACTTTTTTGGCTTGTCAACACATTTCAAGAAGACGAAAAAAGGCAAAGATCGTGGAATTTTCCACAAATTTTTTATGCAAAAATTTTTTAACAAGTAACAATCCTTGGTAACCACATAAGGGATGAGTAACAAACGCATGAGAGGTTCATCTATAAAATATGTAATTTTAGTATCCCAGTAATATTTTTCCCAAAAATTAATCCGGTTAATCTCAATTTCTATTATTAATCCCAAAATTACGAATATCCAGCACCCGTATTTCCCTTCCAAGAAAAAAGTACAAGCATTCGAAAGCAGTCCGATTGGTTGCATGCCAAAAATAGTGATACTATTATGGCTCCCACCTCGCAAAACTGCTTGGAAGCAAGCTGATGATACTTCTAACCTTTTTCAAACATAGATATTAAGTTAACATCGAAATATAATCCCAGAAACACACCGTAAATTTCCACTCGAAATACCAAAATTATCTCAAATCCCTCAAAATCTCCCCCCCCCCCCCCCCCCCCCCCCCCCCCCCCCCC